TCGTAAGCTTCATCTGCCGGTGACGGAGCCGGCGGTGGGTAACCCGCGTGCTGTGGCCCGTGGTGCCTGGGTTCACCACGCTCGCGATGTTGTCGGTCGACACGTCCCTCTCCATTAGCGGCGTACTGCACGCGTGCTGGCGGCGGCGGCCGGCGACCGACGACGGGGCCGCGCACGGTGCTGGCGGCGCACGGGTTCCGCTTCCCGCGCCTGACGCCCGCCCACGTCCCCGTCACTGCCGTGGTCGCCACGCCGCCGCGTTTGGCCGGCTCGGCACTGTTCTACGGCGGTCGTGCGGCGAACGTGATGTGCAGTGACTGCCGACCAGAGACGTGGTGGCAACGCCCGCTGTATGTCGACAACCTCCTACGAGCGACGCCGACGGCGCCGCTCTGTCTCGGTCGCACCTGGTCCCTGGGGCTTGACTTCCAGCTGTTGCTGCTCGGCCCGCCGTTGCTGGTCGTTTTCCAGCACAGTCGCCGCACCGGCGCCGCCTGCCTGGCGCTGGCCGACGGCGCGTCTGTGCTCGTGCCGGCGGCCATCACTTTTGCCAGGCGCCTGCCGCCACCTACCTGGTGCCGGGCGAGCGGCCAGCGGACGCGGCCACGCGGGACGACTTCCCCTACCTTGTGTACAACGCGCCGTGGTCGTGCGCCGCGCCCTGCCTGGCCGGCCTGGGCGCCGGCCTGCTGCTGGGCCGGCCGGGGGCCGTCGGCCGCGCCTGCCGACCGCCTGCGCCTGCGTGGCGCTGCAGGTCGGCTTGGTCAGCCTGGATCGCCTCGACTCGCAGCCGGACGCCGCCGCCTAGAGTGCGACGGATGCGCGAGCCGGCCTACCCCGCGCCGCCTGGATGCTCCTCTGCCACGGTGTTGTCGCTGAGCCGCCTCTGCTACGCGGCGCACCTCGTCTCCATGCCCGTGCAACAGTGGTGAGTGTGGGGAAGTGGACGAGCCCGTGCTGCTCAACACGGCCGAAGCGCTGGTTTGGGGCGCCTAGCACCTGGACATCAACTTGGCCCTGGCCTTGCTGTTCACGCTGTTGGTCGAGATGCGGCAACGGCAACGATTGTCCGCCTGCTGGCGCGAATGTTGGTCCAGGGTTCGGCGTGTCGCGCCGCCAGGGTGCGCGCTTGGGAGAACACGGAAGGACACGAGGAGAGCACGGAACGAAGGAACACATAAGGACACGAGGAGAACACGGAACGAAAGAACACATAAGACACCAGGAGGACACGGGACGAGACCCAGCCGGGGGTCTGCGTCGCGAACGCCAAAACGAAATTCGAGAGCAGAGCAGAGCAGAGCGTCGGAGGTTGGGCCGGGAGTGTCATGAGGTCAGAACAGCAGTTGGGACAGACGAGGGAGCGTCAGGAGGTCGAGCCGGCAGTTGGGACAGACCAGGGAGTGTCATGAGGTCGGAAGAGCAGTTGGGACAGACGAGGAACGTCAGGAGGGTCGGAGCAGCAATTGGGACAGGCGAGGGGAACAGTTGGGACGGAGACGAGGGAACGTCAGGAGGTTGGACCAAGCAGTTGGGACGGACCGGGGAGTGTCATGAGGTCGGAGCAGCAGTCGCGACAGACGGCGTTATTCAGTCGAGCCGACGCGATAGAGGAAGCACATTTGTCGCACAAGAAACGCCTTCGAGCGTGGTTGGAAGCTTCTTTTTGTTGTGAAACATAAAAAAAACATACAGGGGTGGAACATTATATCTCCTGGGGGATGGTGGGGGGAGGGACATGGCCCTCAAGGTTAAACTGGATCCCCCCAACATTGGACTGGGTTTTCTGGAATATCAGACTGGAGATTCCACAATGTTGAACTTAGCCCCCATACCCTCTCATTTCTTTACAAAGTGGATAATTCAAAATGTTGTTAAAAAATCGCAGCATGGATATACGTTTCAAATCCTTGTTCACAAATCCTTGTTGAAATCCTTGGTGCATGTCCCGACGCCATGAAAAAATCAAATTGCCGAACTATTTGTTCAAAAGGCTCCTGTACTGTGCTGTTGAAATGAGACACGAACGCCGCATTTCAGACAGCTGTGAATGAATGCCGAATTCAAAGCGTCTTTGAATCGGTCTTGTATTGCTTAGGTCTCTGCAATTTGTGTTGGGCATGTCACTAGAGGCGAGTTCCAGATTTCATCAAAGCAGGTGTCACGCTTCACTGTGGTGCTCCCCCCCCCCCCCCCACCCCCGCCCGGACCTTGGTTGCCCCCGCCCTCACAAAACTTCCGCTATTTCTGCCACATCTTGAGAGCCAGAATACCGATGGCCGGGAGTTGCAGTTTCCATCAAACCGAGGTGGACGCTCGGCGCGCGGGAGCAGGCGTGAAATACCGCTTCCGAAAAGTGACACACGCCTGGACAATCTCCGTTGTAATGTAACATGTAACATTACATGTAGCATCTAACATGTAGCATTACATGCAACATCTAACATGCAACATTAACACTAACAAGTCGACATTCTCGGGCGTTTAAAGGACTCCTTTCAAAAACGTTAACGTTTTTGTTCGCTCGCTGGCCACCGTCTGGTGTAAGCCGCGGGCCGACATCACGTGGCCTGCGGAGACTGTAATGCCGGACGCCGGATTTTTCTTTCATTTTCTTTGAAGATTTGCGAGCGCGTATTGTCAAAACCATTTTGCCATCTACTCGATAACGTGGATTGACGATGCCGATACAAATTCATGACTCCATTTTGTTCTAAGATTTACATTCACTATGCTCTACGTTCACAAATCTCTGTACCTATAACCCAGAAAATTCCAGCACATCATCTAAATGTCATCAGCTCAGGAAAAATGCACTCAATCATTGTAAGATGAATACTGAGGACGGTTTATTCTATGCAATCGTTTGAGCCCGTTACCTTTAATTTATTTATTTCAAAATAAAAATATCTTCATTTCCGTTGGTTGCATCTGGCTCTCGTTTCAGTTAAAGATAATTATTAAAGCATAACGAAGAAAATCGTGCCCGTCGAAATCAAGTGAGCCATATCCGGTGTTTTGTTTCGACCGGGCACTTTGCCATCCCTATGTCTCTTTCCCACCCGACCAAGACTGGCTGAGCCCCGTGTGTGTGTGGGGGGGGGGGGGGGATCATTGAGCATCGAGCACGCGTGCATGAGTATAATCAAATCGTCGCTGAAGTGCCAGTTTGAAGGGAATGTTCGACATTGGAAGATACCGAAACAAGCATCAGGTTTGATGAAATAAGGGCACTTATAACTATTGGTATAGCTCTAAGTGGATAAGACTGCTTTAGATAACACGTTTTTTCTACTTTGTGAATATGCTCCCCTATACACCATTGTTAGATGACGTCATCTTACCTCGCACAGCATTGGTTAAGACCCAATTGATGGCCGTTATATTTGGAAATTGTGCTCACAAGCGCCAGATATGAGCAACACGGCAATTATATTTGCTTAGTCTCGATCACTGCATGACCTATGGAATGGCAAGATTTGCTTGACGTTATTATGACGTACAGATGCTTGGATGACCTTGAAATAGTCTCCCGAATTAGTCTCCACATCTTCATTTGGCGCGTAGCTCAGAAACTAGAGGGGTTTAGATCTTAACCTGCATCAGGCTGGGGTCTCAGACAACTGCGCTCGGCCGGGGAGGGGGGGGGGAGAAATATTACTTCCCCTGAGATCACGAGCTTCCGAACGCCTCATGAGGACAGCAAAGATGCCGTTTTGAAGGTCCGTCAAATAATTAAGACTATGCAGCCAATTTTTAACCTTAGGTCAAATATCAGGTCTCTAGAAGTCACGGAAGAACAAAACGATCGTTCCGAATGACGTAGTGCGGGATCAGGGCCCGAGAGAGGCAACCGTGTATAAGGTCCCTGCGTGACCAGCGAGGTCAGGTAAGGCTGAGCGTCACGCTCGAGCGTGCGCCTCGAGCCCAGGTGCGGCTCGAGCTGCCACCGGCGCTGCCGTAACGCGTCCTCAAAACAGCATTGCTTGCGTTCAAGATCGCTTTTGAGTGGCCACCTGAGGCGGAGGCGCGTTACATAACTGCGCAACGTGTGACGCAAGATTACGGCCGATCACCACCAGAGCCGTCGCCGCATACGTAACTACGCAATCAGCACCAGCGCGGATCCGTCGCCACTGACTGCTGGCCTCGGGTAGCTGGGAGGCTCCGCCTGATCCCATACAAGAGAGGCTCGGTGATTGTCCACTCATAGTCTGCACGAAAAAATACACCAGATGCTCACCATACAAAGCCACCACAAGTTGGAACTGAACCAGTGCAGAACATGGATTAAAATCGCGAGAACATGGCGGCTCCGTTGTGTCTTAAACAACTGCCTCAGCGGCACCCCGTGGCCGGGCGCGACGCCTGCGGGTTCTCAACGCGTATGACATGTCCGGCACGTAGGGCCTGCGGGTTCTCAACGTGTATGACATGTCCGGGCACGTAGGGCCTGCGGGTTCTCAACGCGTATGACATGTTCGGCACGTAGGGCCTGCGGGTTCTCAACGTGTATGACATGTCCGGCACGTGGGCCTGCGGTTCTCAACGCTTATGACATGTCCGGCACGTAGGGGCCTGCGGGTTCTCAACGCGTATGACATGTTCGGCACGTAGGCACACAGTCCGCCGCGCCAACGCGAGCGGCGCGGCACACGAGTCAGGTCGGGTCGGGTCGGGTCAGGTCGGACTGCGTCGGGTCGGGTCCGTGCCGAGGGCGGTCCGCCGCCGCCAGGTTCGGCCAGGTCGACCGACCTTGTCCGAAAGCTGCGCCGGACGGCGGGTGTCACAAGGTCCGGACTCACACAAGGTGTACCTCGTCAGGTCATCTCACTACAAGGTCACCTCACCAAAACGTCCCTGTCCACAATGTCGCCCGTCACAAGACCCGGTCTCGCCACAAGGTCCAATCCGCCACAAGGTCACCTGGTCAAAAGGTCAGACCCGCCAAGTATCCGGCCCGCCACAAGGTCACCCTCGCCACATGGTCCGGCCCGCCACAAGGTCCGGCCCGCCACAAGGTCCGATCCCGCCACAAGGTCCCGCCCGCCACAAGGTCCGATCGCGCCACAAGCCGTCGCGCCGGCGGTCGGCCCTGTCTTCTTTGTACTCTGGCGCCCCACGCCGGCGTCGTCACAGGTGGGTTGTCTCCTTGCCACTGTCTGCCAACAAGGACGAACAGCACACGGTTACCGGTGGGGACGGAGCCGGCTGGATGGCATAATCGCACGCGTGACGTCACTGGTGCTGGCAGAATCACACGCGTGACGCCACTGGTGCTGGCAGAATCACACGCGTGACGTCACCGGTAGTCAGGTCGGGCCGACATCCGTGCCGTGGTCGCTGCATGCCGGCGGCGGCGGGGCTCGAGAACGCAGGGACCTCGCGTCACTGTAGGGCGCGTCAGCTGCTACGGCCGTTCACGGACGGAAAGGATTCTGACAATGTGAAGCGTGACGTGCCGACACCAAACGACGTCCCTGACGTAGGTCCGCGGCGGCGTGCGTGGCAAGCGCTGGGAAGCATGCGTCCTGCCTGGTCTGCTCGACTACCCGCCACCGGTCACGCTCAGGCAGGGACCGCAGGCACGTCGCAACACGCACGAGGCCGAGACCAGACGGAGAATGGACCTCATGCACGCTCAGCAGGCACGCCGTCCACAGCTAGAGAGGGCATGACACCACGGTCGAACAGTACAGCGGAGAAAGGCAACATCGCGTCGTCATCCCACTTACGCCAGCTGCGAGCGGATAGCTTCTCCAGTCCTGACGAACTCACCAGTGGTGACCGAAGGCAAGCATGGCTACCCGTCCCGCAGCCGGTCCTCCCGTCCCTGCACCCGTCCTCCCGTTCCTCTACTCTATTTCCCCGTCCCTGCACCCTGTCCTCCCGTTCCTCTACTCTATTTACCCGTCCCTGCACCCTGTCCTCCCGTTTTCGCAGCCTGTCCTCCCGTCCCTGCACCCTGTCCTCCCGTTCCTCTACTCTATTTCCCCGTCCCTGCACCCTGTCCTCCCGTTTTCGCAGCCTGTGTTTCCGTCCCTGCGCCCCGTCCTCCCGTGGCCACACCCCGTCCGCCCGTCCCTACACTCCATCTCCCCGTCTCTACACCCTGTCCTCCCGTCTTCACAGCCTGTCCGCCCGTCCCTCCGGTCGGCCCGCCGCGCGGGCGACGCCACAGCTCACTCACACAGGTGCGTTCGCGGCTAACTGGGCGAGCCGGGCGAGCCGGGCGGCCGGTCGACCGTGCCGGCGGACGGCCGCCGCCAGGTCACCCGGCCGGCGGCGGGCCGCGGCGCCGCCGGGGGCCGCGGCGCTGCCGGCACAGGCGCGCCGGCGTCAGCGGCCGGCGTCGCAGCGCGAGCATGCAGCGCGGCGTCACATGCACGAGCGTCAGGCGGCGGCCGGCGCGCCACATGCCACCCCACCCGCCACCCAGACGGCGCGCCACGGCCGGTCGGGCAGCGCGCGGCCGGCCGCGGCGTGTCAGAACGGACGAGCGTGGCGCAGGATCGGCTGAGGGAGGACGGGGTCGGCCGGCTCCAGTCTGGCTGCTCAGACTGCGACATGGTCAGTCTGGCTGCTCAGAATGCGACAGGGCAGGACAAGTCAAAACACGACTGGTCGAGTCACACTGTGCTGCTACATGAGTTTTCACGACGCGCCCGCCCTCTGTGGTTCTACGGCATGATCATACGTTGCGCTCATCACGCTACGGGCGACGAAACACCAGGCCGGCGGCCAGAATCAAACCCACGACCGTCCGCACACGTTCGTATGTGGCGCTCAGCCAACTGAGCTGCGGCGCCCAATCACATGTGTTCACATCACACCAACGTGGGTTGGGACAGGGCACGTCAACTCAGGACGAGATCATCTCTGGTCAAACTGGGCGCGGCTGGGTCACGCCGGGGGTAGCGTGGGACAGCCAGCACAACACAGACCAGCTCTGATCAGCCCAGGTCAGGTCAGGTGAGGTCAGGTCAGATCAGTTAAGGCCAGGTCAGGTCAGTTCAGGTCAGGCCAGGTCAGGTCAGGTCGGACGGTGGGATGCGGTGCGTGCTCTCACCGGGGTACTCCTCCTCGTCGTCGTCCTCGCTGTCCGAGTCCGAGCCACTGGCGTGTGGCAGCCGTGGCGTCACGTGGCCGCGCTGCCGCACCAGGCTCAGGTGCATCTGCCGGTCACGTGACGGGCCAGCCGTTCTCAAACGCACGCGGCCAGCGCTTCAACTGACGTTCACCTGATGCGCTCAAGTGACGCTCCAAGTCAAACTCACAAACTCACGTGACAGTCCAAATCAAACTCACACACTGACGTGGCAAACCGAAACGAACTCGCACACTCATGCGACACTCGAATGCCAACTCCCGCGGTCACGTGACACTTACCTCACACCGACGGACTTCATGTGCCGATGAACCACAAACTCACATTACTCAGCACACTACAGTATTTACGCACTTAAACACCACCCAATTTTTCAACAAAACGCTGTTATGCGTATGCTAGCCTTCCAGCTTGCATTGGATTCAAACTGTTTCCTCTACCACCAAGGCACGCCACAAATGCCAATCGAGGCTCAACACAGCTGCCTACCCAGGCAAGCCACAGCTGCCTATCGAGACAAACCCCAGCTGCCTATCGAGACAAACCCCAGCTGCCTATCGCGCCACGCCGCGTCGCCGCCCGCACCAAGCCAGCTGGCGGGTCAGGCCCGAACCTTGAACGAGTCGGGCAGGCGGGAGTCCTTGCAGCCCTTGTCCAGCTCGTACTTGGCCAGCGTCAGCGTGATCCGGTTACTGACGCCCGGCAAGACGTGGGCGTCGCTGCAGGAGCTGCGGAGGAGGCGGCGGCGTGCGTCAGAGCCGGGCCGTGCCGGGTGTAGGGGGCCAGGCGGGGCGAGGGCCGGGCCGTCATGGGCCAATCTTTCCTGGGCTACGAAAGGTCACCACGAAACTCCGCATTGCTGCGTGGAAGGAGCGCACTTCAGGAAGGCTTCGCACACCAGTTTCGGCACGTTCCCACGTCTGGGACTGAATAGCAAGCCGTGAGCCGGCAGCGCGCCTCGCCAGCACCGGCGTCGGTGCGACGTTCGCGGGGAGCCGGGCGGGGCGCTGGCCGCTGTGTCTCCGCCGGCGGGTGCAGCCGGCGCCGCCGCAGGCTGACCGACCTCCGACGAGGTCAGCCACGTCAGCCGATGCACGGCAAGCACGCACGAGTGGGGGCGAAGGGCCTCGGGTGGCCGTTGTGAGGGACGAGTGGAGAGGGGATGGGGGGGGGGGGGTGATTCTGCATTCTCGACGCAGCCGGCCTGGTGAAAACCGTCGCGAAACGAAACAAAAAATTGCCGAAACGACCCTAGAGCGTCTTCTCCCATCGCCCGCATGTTCAGTTACCGCAGTCCGGTGTGGATAGCGAAACGCGCGGCAGGTGGTGGAGCGCGGCTTCTAACATGGGTTCAGGTCGCATCTCCGTGTGTGCGAGCTTCTCTACGTGAACGCAATGCTACAAATAAGACTCCTTCGGCACGCCTCTCCACAGCAAAGTAGCACTACAAGTATGACAACATTCTGGCAAGGGGGATGTCCGTAACACGCAGTTTTTTTAAAATCGAAACCCATCACAGACATATCGTAGCTCAATTGAAAACTGATGACTGAATCAAACGGCAAAGTGGCACACGACTTCCAAACACCAGCAGCGTTCCCGTGGCGCGTGCAGGCCATCGCGCCACGTGACCTCAGACCCGCGCGGCGGCCACGTCACATGACCCCAGTGACCTCGCAGCGCGCGTCCACCTGGGCCCAGTTCTTCACTGACTTACGACCCAAGCTCCGCTCATTCAGGTGGCAGCCCGTGACGTCTCAGTCGCACGCCAATAAAGAATGCCTTCAGTTCCAAATATGGGCACCAGTAGAGCCGGCTCATTAGATTTGAAACTTTCTCAATTTCATAGCTTTGGAATTTTAAGAAAACTCAAAAAATTGCACTCCAATTGGTACTTGTTCTCGAAACTGTTTACATGCACAGAAACACACTGAAAACACGCACAGAAACACTTCAAGCCCGTGGAGACATCTGGTGCGCAGGAATGGCACAGCTGCACATTATTTGAATGAGCAGTCAGTGGCTAGTTTTGTGGCTAGACATCCTTGTCGATCACACTACCCACATGAGATCGAACCTGCCCATTGGCCGGGCATACAATACCGTCAACAATGCACCGACTGTTGATCGGCCCGCCCGTTGCCTTTGCAACAGCGACGGCTTACTTGTAAACAAGCACACCTCGCCTCTCGGCGGAGTAGGGAATGGGCCTGGGCCGTGACACCACAATAAAAGTATGGGCTTACCGGGCTAACCCCAGTGGGAAATGGGCTTGGGCCGTGACACTACATAAAAAGTATGGGCTTACCGGGCTTACCCCAAAGTGGGGAATAAACTTGGGCCGTGACACCACAAGAAAAATATGGGCTCACCGGGCTTACCCCAAAGTGGGGAATGGGTTTCCTTAAAGCAAGTCATAGCAATACCTGGCAACGGTCGACGCGCCGCTGGCGGTCGTGCACTTCAAGCGAACGAACAGGTCTCGATTGCATGTTTATAATGTAATCGACAATGCTGTTTTTCCACAAAATTTGCCAATAGCTGTTCAATCGCATTATACTCAACCGCACCATTCATGCGTACTGTACGTCTCCATGGGGCTACATTAGCTGACTCCACTTGTTACCCACATTTGTAATTTTGCCCGCATTTGGAATCAGAGGAGTTCTTCACTGGCGCGTATCTGTGACGCCACAGGATGCTACCGGAGCGGGAGGAGCTTCGGCCGTCCTACCGCGAATTGCTGGGCCCAGGCGCCGCGACAGCGGCGTGTGCGGCGTCGCTGGAGCCACCTGGCGGCCGCCGCCGGAGTCCTGGCCGGCCGGTGCGAGGGCGCACTGTGAGGCAGTGGGCCGGACACGTGCGATGACGTCCCTGCACCCGCGCAAGACTCGTTGTGATGTCCCTTCACCCGCGCAAGACTCGGGTGTGATGTCCCTGCACCCACGCAGAACTCGGTGTGATGTCCCTGCACCCGTGCAGGACTCGGGTGTAATGTCCCTGCACCCGTGCAAAACTCGGGTGTGATGTCCCTGCACCGGTGCAGGAATCCGTGTAATGTCCCTGCACCCGTGCAAAACTAGCTGTGATGTCCCTGCACCCGCGCAGTACTCGGGTGTGATGTCCCTGCGCAGGTAAGGCACTTTGCAATGTTGTCCCTGCATGGTGCATGTGGCCACGTCAAGTCCGTGACGTGTTGTAGAACCCATGCCACAGAAAAACGATTACGCGTGCCACACAACCATAACCCTCATAACGATTGTGACCGTGCCTCGATAGATCAACAAATCATGACCTAAAAAACAGTTTTTCAATTAAAACGGATCAGGTCAGGTCAGGTCAGATCAGGTCAAATCAGATCAGGTCAGATCAGATCAGATCAGATCAGACCAGACCAGACCAGACCGATTAGATTGGATCGGATCAAAGCCCACGGCAGCAGCGCCTGTGTTGTGTGAGCCCAGACCCCACCATCCAGTCGTCCAGTCCCCCGACCAGCGGCGGAGTGCGATGCCGAACATTTAACGTGCCGCAGTGCTCGGCTCAGCAGCCGCTGACGCCAGCCGCTGACACCAGCCGCTGACATCAGCGGCAGGCCATCCCAGCCAGGCGCAAGCGGTCGGCGCCGAAGCGGCCCGAACCCGCCTGACCCATCACGGGGAGGCTGGGCGGTAAGCGCTCTTACTGACTGGATTGTGCTAGTGGGGGGGGGGGGGGGGGCTTTGCAAGGGGTAACGCTTTGCGACTTTGTGGTTTGTCTGCGGCGAGAAGGTTGCGGACTCAAAATGAAAGTACAATGAATAATGTGGCGCATAATGACATACGCGTTTCGAAGGTCACCAAAAGGGAAGAACTGCCTTGTCACCACCATAGGTTGCACCGCGCTGTGATGATAAATCAAGCAGATGCGTTAACCACTACAGTACCGGCACCCAGCGAACTCATTACTGCACCGCAATAGCGAATCGTGACGGAGCGGAACGTGTTCAAAGTTCTTATCTTGTATCAACGACCTTCAATATACCAGGATGTTCTGGCTAAACAACGTTGTAATGATAAGTAACGATTACACTGACGGCGCTCAATTAAATATGGTTGCTGCCACCGTCAACCTGGTGTGTGCCGTCAATGTTCTGTCGACCGTCAATCGTCTATCAGCATCACAACGTCTTTATCCAGCGCAGAAACCATTGTAGCTGACGCGCCCTATAAACCCACCAACTAAACCAGCGCCTTTAACCAGTGTCCCCTGGCACATGGAAGGTCGTTCCCTGAACATAAAAACGTGTGACACACAATGCCGAAAACCACGAGCTGCGGGCCTTTCTTACGTCGACAAGGGAAAATGCCAAACTCAACAGAGCATGCACGGCTGTCCTCACATTGAGCCGAGAACAGGCCGGTTGCCCTAGCCCCGTCGCACGCCTCTCCAACCCAGTCCCTCCCCACCAGCGACGGCTGCACTCGTGCCAGTGTTCCGTGCCAGTGTCCCTGCATCCGTGTCGTGCTGGCAGCGTGGCTTGTGGGGCCACAGTGCAGCGGTGATAAAAGCGCGTGTCCCGGCCGACACCCCAGCGTCACTTACTGATGCCGAGACTTGAGCTGGGGACGCCTGCAAAACGGTAAATGACTGCTGAAACTCCGCGAGACCAGGCAGGCCAGCGGTGATGCCAGGCTTCAACTAGAAAAATACTGCTGAAACTCCGCGAGACCAGACAGGCCGGCGCCGTACGACAGGCGTCGGCTAGAGAATTATCGCCTAACTCCGCCAGACGGCTCGACGTGTATGTAAAGCATCGACAGGAAAAACAGGGTTGGCCCATTGTGCGGCAATGACGCGCGCATGACTTACCTGGCAACATCGTGCGCCCGACGACCGGGCCGATGGGGCAGCGGCGCGTCCGGGCTGCGACTTACCCCGTCGACAAGGTGACATGAAGGCGGCATCGGCACCAGCCGCGGCACGCCTGCAACTCATCCGCGCGCACGCACGCACACACGCACCAAACAACGGTGCGGCAGCGCCGGCGCGGCCGCGGGCTCACCTGGCGATGGGGTACGCCTGGCCGGGCCCGTTCTCGTCCTCCGGACAGCTGGAGGCCCGCGCCATTCGCTCCGTCCGCTCCGTTCGCGCCACCTCCGCCGCCGGCCCGGCCACGAAGAACGTGTTCAGCCACAGCCAGCACAGCTTCTCCTTCGGCTTCAGCTTGTTCTTGGGCTTGCAGAGCAGCTCCAGCTTGAAGTCGCCGCACAAGTGCAGGTCTCCGTTGACGGGGATGCGGAGGCACGTGTCGCCGGCCCGTCGCGCCGGCTCCACCGGCCGCGAGCTCATCAGCTTGTGCTCCTTCTGCTTGCGCGCCTCCGAGTCGAGCAGCGGCAGCGACGGCACCGGCCGCGCGTCGCCGTTGGACGCGTCCGGCGTCGGACCGCGCGTCTTCACCGAGAAGTGCACGCCTGAGGACGGCGGACACGGGTCAGCGGCTGGTGCGGCAGGGCAGAGCCGGTGACGGCAGGGCGGGCGACGGCCAGCGCGGATGACGGCAGAGCAGGGTGGGTGACGATAGGGCAGCGCGGGTGACGGCAGGGCGGGGCGGATGGCGGTAGGGCAGCCAGAGCGGGCGACGGCAGGGCAGGGCGACGGCAGGGCAGGGTGGGTGACAGCAGGTCAAGGACAACAGACGCTTTGCCCCAACCATCCGTTGGTAAGTAATTCAAGGATATACCATGCCAATGAAATACGCATTAGTGATAAACATGGTCATCATCAATGATGGGTAATCCACTGTCTTTTCAAATAAGGTTTCATGCGGTCTTGACCCAAGTTGACCCCCGAATAGTGCATTATTACTACAGGTCGGGAAGTGCCGGCCCGTCGCGCACGGCTCGCCTCGCTGCGTTACAGCTGACGCGGCAGCGGGATCGGCCGCGCGAGGTCGCCACAGGTCCTGCCAGGTCACGGGACCGTCCCACCACATGGGCTAGCTCCGGCTCCTCTCCGGACCGGCCCGCTCCCAGTCCCGCCCCATCACACGGCCGTCAGGCGGCGGCGCACGCACCGCCGCCAGCCGGCCGGCCGGCGCCACTCACTGGAGACGATGTTCTCCAGCGCCCGCTCGGGCTCCAGCGTGATGGCCTGCAGGAAGAGGTTTGTGGGCCGGTACGCCGGCCGCTCCATGCCCATCAGCCGGTGGAAGTACTCGACGTAGCGCCGCTGGCTGGGGATCGTCACGCCCTGCCGACAGAGCACCGGGCGCGTCACAGGTCACGTCACGTCACCCTCGTGCGCCGGGAAGGCCGCAGATCGCTCGCACGAGGGTGACGCTGACACAGAGGCGAGCTACCCAGCGCTGTACGGCCCCAGCCTGCGCGCATGATAGATGCATCAAGAAACGGGACAAACGTATCCGCGAGAGTATCCAAACGCGGACGTGCACACGCCGGCCGGATGCACAAGATAACACGATTACCAGCAGGCTGGGTTCTTTCGGCCTGAGAAAGCTGCTGTGGGATAGAAGGCGCCGGCCGTGGCGGGGTGGCAGCGGGGCAGTGCTGGGGTGGCAGCAGGGCAGTGCTGGGGTGGCAGCGGGGCAGTGCTGGGATGGCAGCGGGGCAGTGCTGGGGTGGCAGCAGGGCAGTGGCAGCGGGGCAGCGCTGGGGTGGCGGCAGGGCAGTGCTGGGGTGGCAGCAGGGGTGTCAGTGCTAGGGGGGCAGCAGGGCAGTGCTGGGTTGGCAGCAGGGCAGTGCTGGGGCAGCAGCAGGGCAGTGCTGTGGTGGCAGTAGAAGCAGTGCTGGGGTGGTGGCAGGGCAGTGCTGTGGTGGCAACAGAGGCAGTGAAAGGGTGGCAGCAGGGCAGTGCTGGGGTGGCAGCAGGGCAGCACTGGGGTGGCAGCAGGACAGTGCTGGGGTGGCAACAGAGGCAGCATAAGGGTGGCAGCAGGGCAGTGCTGGAGTGGCCATGGGGGTAGTACTGGGGTGGCCATGGGGGCAGCACTGGGGTGGCAATGAGGGCAGTGCTGGAGTCGCACCGGGCCGGCGTCGGCGCCGCGCCCTGCCCCGCACACAAGCCCCTCGTGGAGGCGCGTGCAATGGTCGGGCGGAACTCCAGCCGAAGCGGCCTTCGCACCGACTCGAGACGGGATGACGGAGGCAGCACGACCCCCAGTGACTTTATGCCGCATGACAACAGCACGAAGCAACGAAGGCGCATAGGACTGCAGTGATGGGAATACAGGGGTCACTTCGCAAGGACGGGCTGTGCGCCACACGGGACCACGCGCAGTCGCCGCCCCAGGCGGCCGCGACAGCCTACCTTGCCGTCTTTGGTGCGCTGGTCGCCGTAGTAGGCGAGGACCTCGGCCGGCGTAGCGAACTGCCCGGAGTACAGCAGGTAACAGCAGATCATCACTCCAGTCCGACCCTGGCAACGGCAGGTAACAACAGATCATCACTCCAGTCCGACCCTGGCAACGGCAGGTGACAACAGATCATCACTCCAGTCCGACCCTGGCAACAGCAGGTAACAGCAGATCATCACTCCAGTCCGACCCTGGCAACAGCAGGTAACAGCAGATCATCACTCCAGTCCGACCCTGGCAACGGCAGGTAACAGCAGATCATCACTCCAGTCCGACCCTGGCAACAGCAGGTAACAGCAGATCATCACTCCAGTCCGACCCTGGCAACAGCAGGGTAACAGCAGATCATCACTCCAGTCCGACCCTGGCAACAGCAGGTAACAACAGATCATCACTCCAGTCCGACCCTGGCAACAGCAGGTAACAGCAGATCATCACTCCAGTCCGACCCTGGCAACAGCAGGTAACAACAGATCATCACTTGTCAGGTCCTGGCCAAAACCACACATCAGCAATTAATAATCAATACGTTATCTACCCGCCTATGTAGCCGATATGGCGATCGGTTCAACAGCTGTTCTTTTTTCGCGCGGGGGCGCTGGTTGTCGAGAAAGGCGACACATTTCCCACATGCAATGTTTTTGACTAGAGTGTGAGCAACTGAGAGAAAGCGGCGTCCGTTGCACAGCCTACTCTCCACTACGGCATCGCAATGCCACTCCACATATAGCAGGGGCACATCCTCCCTGATCAGCAGGACCGGAATAATAAAAAAGAAAGGAGCGCGTCCTCCCTTGCGACACACCACCGGCGCATCTTCACCAAAACCAAAACCCTGACCCGACCAGACCGCATCGACCAACCAGACCCATCAGAGCGTCCCGACCGTTTCGAATCAGCCCCCTTGTCCAATCCTCCCCCCCCCCCCCCCACAATCACCAATACCGCCACGTCACCAAAATAACGAAAGCACCACCCGCATCGAGAAAGCCAGCACCGAGACCCAGACCAGCGACCGGACCCCCCCCCCCCCCCTCCGTCCGCCGCCGCCATCGGTACCTTGCCGGCCTTGCAGTGAATGGCGACCACGTTGTCGGGGTGCGCGCACAGCCACTCGTGCACCTTGCGACAGAACGGCGCGATCTGCTCTATGCGGGGCGGCTTGTGGTCCTCGAACGGCTCCCATTCGACGCGGCCCTCGAACATGGCCGAGTCGTACTGTCGCTCTCGGCACCTGGTGGCAAGACGGGTGACGTCACGCGTGGGCCCTCTGTCCACCCGACCCTCGAACATGGCCGAGTCGTACTGTCGCTCTCGGCACCTGGTGGCAAGATAGGTGACGTCACGCGTGGGCTCCCACACACGCGGCCCTCGAACATGGCCGAGTCGTACTGTCGCTCTCGGCACCTGGTGGCAAGACAGGCGACGTCACGCGTGGGCTCCCCACACACGCGGCCCTCGAACATGGCCGAGTCGTACTGTCGCTCTCGGCACCTGGTGGCGAGACACGTGACGTCACGCGTGAACTCGTGACGTCAGTCCGTCGGCCCGGCCACCGAGCACGGCCCAGTCAGATTGACACTTGCAGCGCCTGGCGGAGACAAGTGACGTCATACAAACAGGTGACATCATGCAGACACACGTGACGTCAGAGAGCCGGCACGGCAGACGAAAACAACCCAGTTGTATTCACGCTCCAGCGGTCGGCAGACAGACAGATGACACCCGCGGACGAGACCCCTCAGTCCGCTCAGTCGTGAGCTACGGCTTCCAACGCCTGCCGGCCGCCACTGACGTCACGCAGAGACATGTGACGTCACGCACCCTATGCAGTGCGCAAACACGGTCCAGTCATGAGAACGCTTCCGTCAGCTAGCGAGGACCGGTGACGTGATGTACCACATCGCCGCGGCACCGTGCCAATAATATCGTCATGACGTTTCTCACAACGCGCAATATCAGCTGTTGGGGTCACTAGAGCCCAGTTTCTCATCAACCTACGACACAAGCTTGGTGACGTCACAGATACGCTCCAGTGAAGAACGCCTTTAATTCTAAATACGGGCACAAAAACCAGCCCATTTAACCCAATAGAAACATCTGGCTCGCAGGAATTGCGCAACTCGAATCTGATTCGAATAAATAAGCTTTCATAATTATTGGCGTACTTTTAAATGGCTGCTCTACACAACACCATCTCTCTACTTCGTAAATATGCTATTCAATGCGTCATTGTTTGATTGCGTCATCGTACCTTGCACAACATAGATTGAGAGCCAGTTGTCGGCCATTACATCATATATGAGGGACTCGATACTTACGTTATTCTTGGCGCTGATCGTCGTATGACTATAGGAATAGCAGGACTTCAGTGACGTTATCATGGCGCCATAGACGCATGAGCGACTTCGAAAAAGTCTACTCACAATAGTCTGCAAATCTTCGCGAGCATATAGTTCAGAAACCAAAAGGATTTAGGCCTTAAGGACAGGTTTGTGAACTGTAGCGAATGATTTTCAATATGGCTATTCAGTTCAAAGCCCCACACAAATGTGGAACACTCCCTTTAAGTTATTAAAAATATATATATGGCTAGACACCACTGTCGATCCCACGGCCCAGGTCAGGCCAGGCCTCTAATTTACCACGCAGGACCGTCAACAGCGCATCGACCGTTCCTATGCGTTGCTATGGCAACAGGGACGACTTACACGTCATACGGATTGAACGGTGACGCCAAAGGTAAGCAATGGACTTACTCCGAAGTAGGAAATGAGCTTTTTGCCCATGAAGAACGGGTCTGACGTGGGGGGGTAGGAAGCGTGTTGCGAGGAACTTCGCCGACAGGTGCCATTGGCGGACAGTTGGGCCGAGGAGGGCTGGAGGGACGGCGTTCGGGTCAGTGGTGGGTACGGCAGCGTGGCACCGGTTGGGGGTGGGGGGGGGGTGGGGGGGGGGGGGCACCGCAATGGGGTCTGGGATGCGGCGAAGTAGGCGCCGTGAGGCCACACACTCCCCGCCTCGCACCGGCGTCACGTCACTGTTGCGCGTCCTGCAGCGGACGGCTGTGACCTAATGGCGCCGGTTGGAGACGGTAGCGGAGGAGCACACGCACCAGGCCCCCCCCCCCCCCACGCTCGAGACGGGGTCTCCGAGCCGAGCGACAATGCCACCGGACACGTCGGCGGCACTCGGGCACGCCTCCGACTGCTGGTGCCATCACAGCCGCGGCATTCGCGGAAGAGTAACGGCGCATCATCGCTTGTTAAAGCTCACCGACGTGCTCCCTAGCGAACGCACACGCTCGCACGACGCGAACTGGTAGCCCTTCAGTTTTGCCGGCCAGAACCGGTTCGCGCGCGCGGGGCCACGAGCCGCAGACATCGCCCCACTGCCTGCGTGCGGAAGACGTCCGCCCACGTGGCGCACGCCTGCAACACGCAGTCGCCGGCCGGCATCCCGCCCGGAGAGGGGAGCCGGCGGCCACCGGTGGCCGGTGGGCGCGTGACGTCACGAATTGGAGGTGGCGTGCTTTCCGCCGTGACTCAGTTTTCGCGGACGTTTGCGCGCGGCCGCGGCGCGCCAGGAAACCGTGACATCCCGTTGCGGTTGGGGCGATAGCCGGGTCGCCACGGCAACACGGCAAGCCCAAGGCGGGCCTCGGGCTCCCTGAAGCGTTGCAAAAGACCGACGGCGTCGGACACGGACGGGATGTCCGACCGACAAGGACAGCCATGGACACGGCTTGCCAGGACACGTCCTTGTCCGGGGCGGGGACGCGCGATGCCAGAGAAGTGTGACGAGTGGTCCACTGTCATCATGGGGTGATGTCAAAAGCTATGCTCATGACCAGCCAGGTAACAGGTAGCCAGGTTTGAGGTAACTAATGACCGGACAATCGATCCCAATAGGTCAAATGAATAAGTTGGAAAGACAATGGTCCTGAGAATTTCACGAGCGGGGGTCCGCTCATGTCAAATAAACGCACTAACACGGAAAAACTGCTTAAAAGCGGCAAAGTGTGGGTGTGACCAATGGTGACATACATGAATTTGCTTTGCTTTAAGGTTTGATAACTGCAGCGAAAGTATTACCGACTATCCAGGTATGTCGGGTGGACTTCGGTAGCAACAAATAAGCTTACATCGCCGTGTTATTGTCATGAACCGATCGCCTCGGTTAACGCCACAGCGTCTGACACTCGGGATCGCTTTCGAAAAGGGTGCCAATATTGGTCTATTTCCAACTGATCGCTGGCGCACGTATCGTGCGGGACAGTTCTGAGACCCTTTAACAAACTGCGGTCGGTACATTCGCCTGCGCAGTGCAGATGAGTTCACGTCTCCGTCCGCTGTGGTTAACGAGATCTGAAGCCACTTCTCCAAAACGACCAAAACGAGCGAATCTAGCGCCTCCATAGGAGAGCGCATAGCCATTCAGATACATCGTCACAGGCTTTGTCTTTGCGATTGTCCGCTTTCTCCTTCGTAAGCCTCATTTAGCCTGACATCGCTGCAACGCTGGAGCGTCAACCTCGAGATCTCGGCAAGGTTTCGAGGTTTCGACCCATGCTCTTCACGTTTTTGCAACAACGAAACTCCAACTTCGCGTGCCAATCGAGTGGAGAGGGGGGGGGGGGGGGGGTCGCGACGTTGCAAAGTTGCAGGAAAATCCCGCCGGCCCAAACAGCTTGCATGACAATGTCCGGCGATTCACACATCATAACTTTTAAAGAAGGGCGCCTCGCGTTGCTGAGAACTGCATGACTTGAAATCAGTGGCTGGAAAGAGATTAGCGTCAGGAAAGGACGAAGGCCGACCTGGGCGCCCAAGCGGGCAATAAGTTCTCAGTTCACATGCGACTCGCCCAACCCGCTCCCTACCCGGTAACAACTGGCTATCTTGCCTTGCGTGTATTCCTCTGGCTCTCTGCATGCGAAATATGATTATGGCTGCAATCAAAAGACCGCCGACGTGGTTTTGCAAGAAATATCATCGCAGCTTATACCGAGTTGTTCTGCACCGTATTCCTTTTCACGGCACGGCCTTTTCCTGTGGTAATGGAAAGCGACCGCAAAAAGTTCATTCACGTCCAGCGTGCGCTAGTTGTCCTCGCCCACCAAGGGCATGAAGAGGCAAGAGCGCAGGCGAAAATCCATTCCAACACTCTTGACAATGTGTGGAAAGATCTTCAGCCGACACGGCGTGTTGTCTGAAGACCTTACGTCCCATCGGGGCGTACGAACTAACTCGGCATTTTGTAACGTATTCCACAACGAAGTGACACGAAACGAATCTATTCGTCACAAATGCGGCTTGAAACGCAAAGCGCGGGCCTGAGTTTAGTCAAAAAATCAATAGGTGAAACAGAGCACACACGCTGTTGTCTTCCCCTCCCCTCCCCCCCCCCCCCCCACACACACACACCAGCACACCCTCCCTCTCCGGGCGTCGCTGTTCGTCACAGCCCACGCTCCACACCCACCGCCACCGCCACACACCACCACCACACACCGCCACCGCCACACCACCGCCGCCACACACCACACCACCCGCCGCCGCGGCCGCTCACACTCACAGGTTGAAGAGCTTGTACCGTCCTGGGTGGCGCTGATTGAGGAACTCCAGCACAGTGCGGGCGTCGTTGCGGTAGAGCTTCTCGATGTCCTGCGCCGGGTAGCCCATGGCGATGATGCGCGGCGTGATGTCTGCGGCGCCGGTCAAGGAGCAGAGCGACGGCGGGGCGGGGGCGCGCGCCGGCATAGTCACGTGGCGGCGCGGCCGGGTGTCGGCCGCCGCTCTCGTAGCTTTGGGATTAAAGTTCCATGCTAATGATTTCGCCACAGCGCGGGATGCTTCGATGATTTTAGTACAGTCTTACGTACTAATTTTCGCGGAAGTCATTTTTAGACGCCGAAGAAAGCCAGCGGCATCAATGGACGGAGAACGACAACACGTTCACCGGTGGTGGTTTGAGAATTTTTGTGTCGCGCTACTGCCACGCCCATAAACGTGGAGGGAAATAAAGAACAAACGGAAGGAAACACGGCTAAATTAAGTAACGAACACAAACCGCGCCGGCCGGGACATGCACCACATACATCCTACGGGAAATACCCAACAACACATAAAAAGACAAGCTTGCATTCAACCGCGTCTTCTTCGCCTCACAACATATCACGCAGGTGGTAAACTGCGTTACAAAGTGACCCCCAGTGCACTTCACCAAACTTAGACCCCTGAGCCCGGCAGCGCCGCAGTATGGGCCACGAGCTCACAAGCTCGGCGCACCGAGATAAGGCGACGACCGCACTCTGGGATCAGCTATCGGCACCCCTTCCGGTGATGTCACCCGTCCCTCTCGTCAGGCGCTCTCCGGCCTCAAAGGATACACGATAGATCGAGGTTGAACTTGCCCTCCTCAAACCTCTTCTTGTTCTTTGACACCATTGTCTTTATCACGTTTGAGGAGGCCATGGTGGCGATGAGCAGGTCAGGCCAGGCCAGGTCAGGTCACGGCAGGTTCGGTGGCGGGTCCACGCTGGCCAGCTGCCAGTGCCGCCCTCAGCCTGTGAGTGAAGCCAGGTTGACTACGGGGCTGGCTTGACTCAGCTCAAGTTACTGAGATTGGACGTACCAAAACTGCCTTGAGCTAAATATGTAGAAAGTTCCACCATTCCCCTCCATGTTCACGCAAAATGTACCTTTGCAGGACGTTTTCTCTCCATATGGCAATGCATCTGCAAAGTTGGGCTCTGTGGGAGGGGAGTGCAGCAAGCTGGTAGGTGCTTGCATTGTGTCATCATCTTAGTAAACAGTATTAGAAAACCAGGGCGCCGCAAAAGTGGCAGTGTTTCAGAAAAGCAGGATGTGATGTGGTTGAAAAAGGCTCATAAACTTAATTCTAGTACACCATTATCATTTTGCATGACTTTTAGTCAGAGGTTTCAATGCTCAACATTGTCATGACCGCAGAGATCGTACCAATATTTGCTAACCAAATAGTGTCAGACATCACAACCACAGGCACCACATACCAACTGCCCCTAAGCACAGCCTTTGGGGGGTAGGTTTAGGACATATCAGCTGTTATGGGTCATGCAGCCACAGCCTTTTGGGTTTGAATGGCAATATGTGCTGGGTTCCATCTGTCTGGATTCCAGAAGTGGGAGCAGGCAGTTTCTGAGATTCCAGTGATTATTGGAGTGTTGGACCCAATAATATCTTAGCCTTTTTTCAAATCTATACTGAACATGAACAAAGACTGCACAACCAGTTCTTTACCTTGCATGCCACACACCTTAGGAAAGTGTGGCATGCATACCTGCATAAAAGCCCATCACATTAAACTACTTTGAATGTGTCACTAGGCCAAAATACCAGTCAGAGAAATACTCAGGTGAGACATAAATAACTAGATGTCATTACATTTCCTACAGCGATACAAGTACAAACAGCAGTCCAGTCTGAGAAAAATCAGTATACTGTGCGAGTGACACTGATATGCTGATCTTGGTGCACATGCACCTTGAACTCAGTTCAGGCTAAAATTACCAAAATCATAACCCATGTTTGTCTTCAAACACATGTTATGGGTATTTTGCATTAACACACCATTACAACACTCTGATGCCATAAAATGGTGGCTCTCCATGTGCTGAAAAAGGGCTGCAAAAATAAACATTCCTCTAAGCATCTCCAACATAGCAGTGAAATCCTGGAAATAATTCAGTACATGTATGCCATACCTCTGAGAGCTCAGATTTGGTGCAAAGTCAACAGCAATTTCAGTGCATGGAGAGCAATGTTTCAAGGAATTATGATGTACAAGTAGTTTCAAGGAAAGCAGCCTTAAAGAGAATGTTCCACATCTGAAGATGTTAAAGCAGCATCAGACATGATAAAATAAGCTCACTTATAGCTATTGGTACACTTTTAAGTGGAAAAGGATGCTCTAGACAGCACTATTTCTGTGCAAAGTAAATATGCTCCTTAACACTTCATTGTGTGATTACACCAGCATAACTTGCACAACACTGACTGGGAGCCAATTGACTACCACTTCATCTGAAGTTGTGCTCACAAGTACAAGATATGAATGACTCAGCAATTATATTTTACTTCAAACTTTGTTCAAACTTTGTTCAAACTTACTTCAAATGTTCAGAGTCCCTCTGAAGTCTGCACATCTTTGAGGGTGTATAGCTTAGAAACTTGAAGAGTTTAGGTTTCAAGATGGGCAGAGCTGTGAACTGCTCTGAATGGTCATGAAGATGGCCTTTTCAGTTCAGAAATCCATACAAATGTGGAACACTGCTTTTAAAAGGTCTTCATGCAGAAAAATACGTTACAATTCTGATAAATTTTGTGTGACCTGACTTTAGCACCCAAAAAATTGTCCCGAGAGATGAAGGTTTAGCACAACGCCATGTGGGCATCCATCACACTTTTTCCTGGACTGATAATGAATTGATGGAGACTGTACACCAAACTCTGGCTCACCAAATTTATGGCACACACATGCCAAAAACATTGTGGCAACATCACCACTACCCTACTTATGTTTGGCACCTGTATTTTCACAGTTTGGGCAGTAATTAATTCAGTCTGTCAAATTCACCAAAAGCAAGGTATCAAAGCAAAGCGCTTTACAGCACAGGCAGATTTCACCAAATTGAAACATAGGTATACGAACATGCAAAATAAACATCGGCCGCGAGAAGCGCTCGCGAATTCTAAAGCACCTACCTCGGTAACTACCTACCTCAGCGAACCCTATACACGGTGCAGCAATAGCATGTATCACAATCAGCTCAGACAATGCCAACCTGCTCGTGGCAAGCAGCACATATGGCGCTCCAATAACACGACACTATCTCCTCAGCCATGTAAGGCGCACACCGCCCCGCTCGAAACGCGACCACATACCTAACGTCTTCAGAGCTACGTGCGAACACTATCGGTTGGGAACAAACAAGAACAACGGGGGCACGTACGCTGGCACAGACCGAAAACCTTTTGGTATATGACGCTCTTGTGACGTACAGCGGACCGCTGCTAATGCGAAGGAAGTCATAGTAATTACGTCCCTCAAAATTTTATTGTTTAAATGACGCCTTGAGATATATTTGCAGTTATTTTTTTAGTGAATAGAACGTTTTAGGTGTGCTTTTATGGTATATAAGTGCATACAATTCTCCAGAGCTTATTTTGCTGACTTTATATGACGTCATTTATTGGAAAAGCTTCAGTTCATTGTCAAGCCACTTTAATGTGTGATTCAAGGATTGAAATTTGGAACGAGCTGATGCTGTGCGACAGCGTGGTAGGCGGCCGTGGTTGCATGTGGCGTGAGGAGGTGCTGTTGACCGTGTTGTTAAGACCCATGCATGCACTGCATGCGCCCCGCCTTGGCTTGAAATTAGATGGCTGCAGGCCGTATCAAATGTTTTTTTACATTAGGCGCAAAGTTCCAAGCTGGATATTTGGATAGGCAAAAGGTGGCCCGCAGGGCTCAGTTTGTGTGGCAGCTTATACCTATTCACACTTGGGTCTTCTATCTGTAAAGTTAGCTCAATTTGGTATGTCCTTAGTCGGATGAGTGCAAGGGAATATTTTTGTGATACATGCCTGAAATAGTGCCTTGCTAAGCTATGATTTTGTGTTGCTGATGTAACATTTGTACATGTACAACATGCACTGCTTTTATTAGACATTAAGGCTGAAGTATGGAGAGGGCAGGTATGCCACCATTGTGAAGTTTTCGCCTTGGACTGGTAACAAAAAATATATGCAGCTGATCCAGTATTTCCATGTATTTGGAATCTGGGGCCATACTGCCCATGGCAGTTACTTACCTCATCATTGACTATATTGGGCAGTAGCAAGCAGAAGCTGCTTGTACATACTTTTGGCACTTGATGTATGAGGTCAATGGGACCCACCTTTCAGAATATCTGGAGCAGCAATCAAACAAATTCATCTGGTAGTTTTTGTTTTTCATGCTTTAGGGTGTGAAGTAATCCACATGGTGTCCTGGTGGGTGCTGGTATGCTTGCTAAGAGGTAGAAAACCTCAGCCCTGGTATAGTCCACGGGCGTCAGATATAAATTCTATAGGTATAGTACATTCTGAACTTGCCATGTAGACTTGTTAAGGGTTAAGGGAGGTCAGAATATAAATGTCTGTTTTGCTGCATTGTGCTAAGTGTATACTGAACATCTGTTTAGTTTTATGTTATTTGTATACTGTGTATATGCTTGGGGCTTTTTGCTTCCACTGTGCTTGCAATGACATACCAGCTGAGTTTCTGTCAAGCCACCATTGATTTGCATATTTTTATGGCTTGATGTTGCAGGTGCAAATGGATCACAACTTGAAGACATTCACATTTGACAGGATCTGAGTACATCATTGTCAACATTTGCTTTAAGTTCAGTGGTATGATGTCTGGACAGCAGGATGGCCAAGATGGACATGGTTCATTAGAAGAGCATTGCTCCAACAAACCAAAACTAATGAAGCCTGAAGAGCCAGCAATAATAAATTATGACACTGGCCCAGTTTCATGCTCTGACAGCGAATTAGCTGACTCCTCATCTCACTGTAACCCAGCAATGGCCAGCATCTCCAGCAGTGTATCAGAGGGCAGACACAGACTGTGCATCTACAAAGCCTGTCACAGCAGACAGAGATAGTGTCATGGACTGTCACACAGATCAGACCATCACACTGTGTGCGGGAGGCAGTCCAATGCGTGATGGCTGCTCTCCTCCCCGCAGTGGTGATGCATCAGTTTCAAGTGCCATCATCACTTCTGCTGCCACCACTGCAGCCATCCTCCACACAAGCAGCCCACCTGTCCACCTTTGCCCAGTGGCGGACTCTGTGCACCCAGTTGCCGCGGAGGCGTGCTCAGGCGACCAGCGGACCTGGCAGGGCTCCCCTGGCACGCCCCCTAGAGCTGGCGACGGGCTCCCCGCCAATCACGACCCCGGCAGCGGCGTGACGTCATCAGTGGGTGGGGCTGAGGGTGCTGGCACGACAGCCGACCGCGGCGCTGATCGGTCGTCCGGCCCGGCGCTAGCGCCGCCGCCGGTTAACAGCGGCAGTTCAGCTGCCGGCCACGGCGGTCAGATGGCGCTGGTCGAGTACAGCTCCAGCGATGAATCCAACGAGGAGGAGGAGGAGGAGCAGCAGCCGATGCCGCCAGGTGAGGGGAGTGGTGTTGAGCGTCGGGTTTCGCGCCCAGTCAGCACAATGTTACATCATGCCATGCCATTTCACAAAATTGCTTTAGTGTTCAATAGAGGATGTGGGGAGGACACAATTGGTCAATGAGGTTGTGGCAGCTGTTGGAGTCACCATGTCAGCATGTCTCCAAAAACTCAGGATTTTGTAACTTTTCAGTTCAAGGGGATAATCGACATTTCAAGGTAATGAGGCAACCGCCAGATATGATTAAATATGCTCATTGTAATTTTTGGTGTGCTTTTGAGCCCTAAAAGACTGCTTTAGATGACACAATTTCACAACTTGGTAAATATACCCCGCACTACGTGATCTTTTCATTGCGTCATAGAACCGTTTATGGCGTCAGAAGGGCTGCAGAACTGGCCGTGCGCAATTGCTGCCCCAGCGGACAGGCTGACTCACTTACAATACTGCAACTTTTCGAGAGGTGTCCTGGTAATGTGTGCCATGTTCCCAGGACACAAAGGTCGTTTGCATGTCTTCTGGCTCTTTTGTGGTGTATTTGCATCTTAAGCTGTGATTTTATGTACACTTGCATTCACGTGCTCATTTATATGCTATTCTTAAGGTATTTAATTCGGGGGTGTTCGCCGACGTATCCCATTTCCCTAATAATTAGCACCACTGTCCAACTTCCTGTATAATGTAGCGTGAAACATGGTTTGTTTTTTAGACCTGCGCTTAATGCGTAGCGTTGTTTGAGAGCCAATTGAAGGCCTTTGGTTCCAGAGATCGTGCTTGCGTACATCAGACACGACTAACGCAAAGATCATATTTTCATTGACCTTCAACGTCGTATGGCCAACATGGTGGCAGCATTTGAGTGAAGTTTCTATGGCGTGCGTTTCTAGTGACGTTTCTTGCACCTTTTGTGCAAGGAATGCCATTAAATATATTGTTATCTTCTCCTTGATCCTTGTGGCGTGTTTCATGCGTGCCTGGGTGACCGAATTAGTCTGCACGACTTCGCGGGTGCCTAGTTCAGAACACAGGCTCATCCTTAGAAGGGCAGGGCTGTTAACTGCACCGAACGGTCTTCAAAATGGCTATCTCAGCTTAAAACCCAATACAGTTGTGGAACGCATCCCTTAAATTCGCGCTGCCAATAGCATTTCCACGCCAATATTTGTCAGCACTCTCCACGCAGGTCAGACTGTTCATTCCACCGATAGGACTATCCACTGAGGTCCATGCGTTCCCGTGAGAACATCGGTGGCCAGCTGACTTCCCACGCCGCGCGCCGCCTCCCACGCCTCGGAAGTGGATTGTTGCCGCCTGAATGGTGCGCTGGGATCCGCCTTCGAGCGCGTGGGTTCTTGGTGCGGTGCAGTCAGCGGTGCAGTCAGCTGTGCAGTCATCGAACGCATGTCTTGGCGCGGTCGCCTATCTGATAATGGCCGTGCCTTCACTGACCAGTGCTCTCCTCTGGGACCTGTTGCAGCAAGTAGCGGCGGGCCGACCCGCGACGAATCTGGCCCACCCGGTGTCCACTGTGGGTCCGGTGTCCGCTGTGGATCCAGTGTCCGCTGTGGATCCGGTGTCCGCTGTGGACCCGGTGTCCGCTGCGGATCCTATGCAGCAGCGGAGAGACAGCCCGGTTTCCGTGGCCATGGTGGACATTACTTCCGGCGCAGAGAATCGCATGGACCTTACCGCCGATGGGGTGGACCAGATGGACTTTGCTAGCGGTGGAGGCGATCACGTGGAAGTCGTCTCCGGCACAGCGCACGGCACTGCCGGTAAAGTGGACCTCGTGGACCTCACATCCAGTGCAGTGGACAACACGCTCAGTGAACAGATCCCGTGGAGTTCATCTCCCCCGCGACGGACGGCGCCGGCGCGGTGGAGCCCGCGGCGGCCGCCGGCACGCCCCAGGACGTGGAGACGAGCGCCGGGGTGGTGGTGCTCCGGCCGGACGGGCGCGGGCTCGGCGGAGGGGCGCCGGCGCCGCGGTGGACCGCCGCGGACGCTGACGGCCGCGCTGTCCGTGGCGCCGCTGACAGGTGAGGACGGTGTGGCACAGGGGGACAGGCACCATAGAGGGTGCAGGCAGGGGAAGCGCGGTGCGGGGGGAGGTGAGACAGAGGGACCGGGGAGGTAGGGAGGGCACTTGGGAGGTGGGAAAGTGTTTAGGTTATGTGGGAACAGGTGCAGACAAATTGGGGGTGCAGGAAAGGTGGCAACGGCCACAAGCGGGGTGGAAAGGGCTGTAAGCGAGGTGGAAGGGGCTGAAAAAGGGGTGAAAAGGCTGCAAGTGAGGTGGAAAGGTTTGCAAGCGAGGTGGAAGGAGCTGCGAGCGAGGTGGAAGAGATACAGAGGCTGTGGAGAGAGAGGTGTAGATGCGTGGTAGTGGGGCGAACAGGGGGGTACCGGTAACAAGACGTGCCTTTGGAAACGAATAGGTTTTCAGGGGGTGGAAGTGGCCGACAGTATAGGGTGAAATAAACGACAATCGACGAACTTGCTTGCAATGGCTTCAGATAAGCGTTATTTGGCTGGTTGATGTATAAACTCTATGAATTTATTTATATCCGATGCTCGTCGGCTTGTCCTGATCTAATGCTATGTCGGCGAACAGTGTGATCGGTGCAAGTTAATGCGCCACTTCTATCAACTTCCGCCAGGGATGTATGTGTCAATCCACTCGCTGCAGCAACTGCCATTAGACCGCATACGGGTCGTGGAGACAGGGGTGGAGGCACGGTATGGGCGCTCACACGTTCCCGGCTCAGTGTTCAGACGTGATCCTCTGCTGTCGTCCCGACTCTGCCATCGCTGGGCGGGAAGCGCCCCGACAACAACCGCCCGTGGCCGGCAGCTCGGAGGACTCCGAGTCCGACTCGGACTCGAGCTCCGACTCCGACTCGAGCTCCGACTCGGACGGCCAGGAGGTCGCTGAGAAGGAGGAGGAGGAGGAGGAGGGAGGCGAGAAGGACAAGGCTCGGCGTGTCTTCGGGCCCATGACCAAAGGAGAACTATGTGAGTACTCAAGCCTAAGCTTCTCAGCAACTCTGTCCTCGGGACGAGTGCTGAGCAACCCTGCCGTAGGCCCATGGTTGCTCAGCAACTCTGCCCCCGGGCCAGGGTGGCTTAGCAAGTTCCCTGGGGTGAAGGTGCCCATTGGCAGGACAGCGGCGGCTGCAGCAGACACGCCGCTGTTCAAGTGATCTTACTGGCTGATTTCGGTTCACGGACAGGATTCAGTCTGTCCGCGAACAGCGCAGATAGGCTTCATTCGGTGGTGGGCCAGTGAAGTTTGTTGTCGGTGGCCGGCAGGAGAGAAGTAGAAGCTTTACCTGTTGTGGTAGTATCCAAATGGGCAGTGTATGAGCTCTATGTTGTTTATGTCCATTTTATTTCATGGCCGGTATAAAAGGTGGACGCCGTTGTCCCATGTTTGCATCCATGATAGAATCAGACTGTTCTTTTATGTGAATACCTGTTATAAACATAATTTGGTACATTCTCCAATATACAGAAGACTAGGAGGTTTTCTGGACAGGCCCAATCCCCTAAAACGTTGGTGTGTACATTTGACAACCCCTTCTGTTTCTCCACCCTGCAAATTTAACACGCGGCATCATGCTCCTGATTATTTAGCGTTACCGACCTACACCCCGTCATCGCCCAAACACTGTGCCGCACCCTCCTCTCCCGCCCTGCCCTGTCCTGCTCTGCCCCTCCCGCCGCCTTCCGCCTTGTTCCTTCCGCCCCTTCCGCCCCGCCCCGCCTTGCCCCTTCCGCCCCGCCCCGCCTTGCCCCTTCCGCCCCGCCCCGCCTTGCCCCCTTCCGCCCCGCCCCGCCTTGCCCCTTCCGCCCCGCCCCGCCTTGCCCCTTCCGCCCCGCCCCGCCTTGCCCCTTCCACCCTACCCACCTTGCCCCTTCCTCTCCGCCCCCGCCCCTTCCGCCCCGTCTCGCCTCGCCTCGCCTTGTCTTGTCTTGTCTTGTCTTGCCCTGCCCTGCCCTGCTCTGCCCTGCCCTGCCCTGCCCTACCCTCCTGCCCTGCCCTGCCCTGCCCTGCCCTGCCCTGCCCTGCCCTGCATTGCCTTGCCTTGCCTTGCCTTGCTTTGCCTTGCCTTGCCTTGCCTTGCCTTGCCTTGCCTTGCCTTGCCTTGTCTTGTCTTGTCTTGTCTTGTCTTGTCTTGTCTTGTCTTGTCTTGCCTTGCCTTGCCTTGCCTTGCCTTGTCTTATCTCGTCTCGTCTCGTCTCACCTCGCCCGCCCTGGCCACGCTGTGACGTCGTTCTCTGACGTCGCAGGCCTGCTGGACTTACCGGCCATCGAGCACCTGCGCATCTCGCTGCCGGAGGAGCAGTGCACGCGCGTGGGCACCGTGGCCAGCGTCGTCGAGTGTCTCGGTGAGAGTCGGCTTGGCCGGCCCGCGGGCGGCGGTGGGCGAACGTCGTGCCACGGCTGGTGGGGTCGCTTCCCATGCGAGGTTTTGCGTGGGTGCGCTGTGGTCCATGCGTAGCGTTCGATTGGTGGGTTGTTGTTGCTTGGTGGTCTTGGTTTGATGAGCTGTTGTTCCTGCGTAGTGCTCATTTGGTGGGTTGTTGTTCCTGGGTGGTGTTCAGTTGATGGGCTGTTGTTCCTGCGTGGTGTTTAGTCGGTGGGTTGTTTTTGCTGGGTGGTCTTGGTTTGGTGGGCTGTTGTTCCTGCGTGGCGCTCAATTGGTGGGTTGTTCCTATGTGATGTTGTTCCTATGCGTTGGTGACCTGATAATCGACGGTGGTCCTGGGCTGATGGATCCTTATCCCCTCCCACATGCTTTCAGTGGTAGGCTGTGCCGTCTTGCACTTATGGTACAAAACCAAGCCCTTGCGGTGTGCCGCTTATCCTGTGTTGTTTTTGGCGTCATTGAGTTGTATTGAACTCAGTTATGTTGCTTGTCTGTGTGGTTTTGTCGTCTGTGAGTTGTGCGTGATCTCCACACGGCAAGTTTCTATCTTCTGCCACGTGTTCGGCGTCTTTTCCATTACCGTTGTCATAGAGCCTGACGGGAGGAACTACCCCGATACAGTGTCCCTCACCTGTGAGCTTCACTAGCCTAGCTCTCGCTGGGGCTAAAGCATGGGTTCATTGGTGATCGCAGTAATCGCTTGCGTCAAGAATGACGCAATCGATTGAAACATGTCGCAATGGACCATCTCGCAGTACAGTTGTCTTCGCTTCGAACGTCACGCGCAGGGCGCCTTCTGTGACTTATTCCGAGCCTCTGGCATAATCAATTTGATGTTCATCTCTGCGGAAAAAGATTAAGTAGGGGTTTGTCACGACCATATGCTGTCTGGACGGGATGCGCCGAGTCCGCTCACAGAGCGATACCGGCCTGGAGTCGACCTCTCTGAACAGAAAACGGTCTGCAATTCAGATAGCTTTTTCTCTCTGATGTAAAGTGTGTTGAGGTTACCTGATCTTTCGTTGCACTTCACTTGGACGCTCTCCCTGATTATGCCACCGAATCTATAAAACATCACGCGGGTTTTGGCTGCTACAGAGTGCGATGAATCTGAAGATGTGGGCAGAATAGCCCGTCGCTGTGTTTGAACCAGTGCTGTGTTCGGCCCGACTGAATGTAGCCTAAAGCCAGGGGCATTGGCCCCGCTGGTAGCGATGCAGTTTGTCTTCCTATTTCGTCATTGATTGTTTTATTGGACACCTGAATGGATGGACTTTTCACTGATGTTGCTGCGCCTTCACTGGCTGAGGAATTACAGACTGTCACTTGGTTTGGCTAGATCGGCCAGGGTGATGGGCGGGAGGAAGGTTGAACCGGTCGCACACAAGGCTCAGGGAACGACGTCTGCAGTTTACTGGTGTTATGACCTCAGATCTGCCTGTTTCGCCATGACATTTGGTCTCGTGTCCTCTTCACTAGCAGCACCTCTCCACTTCACCAGTGCGGTGGTCCGACTGTGTCCCCACCAGCGGTCCGACTGTGTCCCCACCAGCGGTCCGACTGTATCCCCACTAGCGGTCCGACTGTGTCCCCACCAGTGGTCCGACTGTGTCCCCACCAGTGGTCCGACTGTGTCCCCACCAGCGGTCCGACTGCATCCCCACCAGTGGTCCGACTGTGTCCCCACCAGTGGTCCGACTGTGTCGCCACCAGCGGTCCGACTGTATCCCCTACCAGTGGTCTGACTGTATTCCCACCACGACAGGTTTTATTGTATTCCCACCACCGGAAGTTTGACTGTTTTCCCACCACCAGAGGTTTGACTGTATTCCCACCACCAGAGGTTTGACTAGGTTGACAGAGGTTCCCACCACCAGTGATCTGTATATCTGCACCAATAGTCTGGCTGTATCCCCTGTCACCAGCGGTCTGACTGTATCTCCTGTCACCAGTGGTGGTACAGTCGACTCCCGGCTCGCCGCCGCTCGACATCGACTCGGTGCTGTTCCTCGAGAGCGGCCGCCGCCCTCTCGGCCGCGTCTATGACGTCATGGGGCCGGTCCACCACGCCGCCTACTGCGTGCGCTTCAACAGCCCAGAGGTAGCTGCACTCACGGAGCCCGCGTGCCACCGGCGCGCGGGTTCTCGTAGACCGGGACTCGTGACGTCAAATGACACGTCTCGCTCGCGCGCGCTCGTGTTTGCAGCGTAGCAGGAGGCGGAAGTTGGGAGGTGAGCTCGGTCGAGCGTGGTTGGCAGATAACACGAAGGCGCCTGAGGTATGGGATGCCACCCAGACTCGCCGTGTGTTTACGAGAAGAGTCTGGACCTTGCCTGATACTAATGAGCTTTTGGCTGCACCAAGGCCAGTCGTGCCCACCGTAACCTCTCCGGTGTCGATGAAATCTCGCGCGTAGGGTCACATATGTCCCCATACGACATCCAAGTGACATTTACTTCTCGAGGTCATATGGGCCACAACATATGACGTCGAATATTGAGGCTTATCTAGAAAGATGAGCCAGAAATTAATTGGGACGATCCGGTGCTGCCGCGATAAATAATTATGACCACTCCCGGTCTTTTCGTGATCACGTGATCTTGTGACCTTTGTTACATTTGTAACATCCTTGACCTTTTAAAGAATTCCATCCTGAAAATTTTGTTTTTTTCTCTGAAAGATGGCCGGGACTGTGGGTTCTGACATACAGTTTTCTTTGCACCTCTGGCCCTGCTGTGTGTCACCGACGTGAACGATGAGGTCATGTTGTGGCCTTTTAACTGCCGTGGTGTGTGTGGCATACAACGTAGCCGATAAGGACGCCCTTTGAAACAACCAGTAGGTGGGAGGTCCCGAAGGTCACGCGTCAGTCATGGACGTGAGAATGGACAGTAATTACAGGTGGAACATGACATCTAGTGTACATGTCTATCATTTTAACGTCACGCTTTAGCATACAATGATGACGCGAGACCGGGCGATGTTGATGACATGCATGTACGGCCCGCTACACAAGTTCGCCACCGTGACCAGTGAGCCTTGCAATGCCCTCTGCTGTGTTGCTGTATGTTACATGATGACATTTTGAGGCCTCCGGTGAACTGGGTAAACAATGGGTTGAAGGGATAATGGATGAGTAGCCACCATGGGTAGCGGGTGGGAATTACCCCATCCCCATGGGTGGCGGGTATGACCCCAGCCGCATGGATGGCGGGTGGATTAGGTAACGGGAATCTTCCCCGTCAGGGCCTCTTATGTCAGTGTCGTATTTTGCTGTCGCCTGTAAAACGTGTCAATGCCATGATTCATGGGCATCTGCTCTTGCAGCACAGACATCTTGCAGTTATTTTCTGGTATAACTTTCCAGACGTCTCTGAAAATTCCATGGCCTAAATCCCGTGCCATTACTTGCCAAAAAAACTAACAATCGCAGCGGGTGTAATTTATGACAGATGTGTACGAGTTCCGAGTTTCTTCAGAATTCTCCTCTTCTCCGAGGAGTGGTGCTATTATTACCGCCCTACCTATGTGAACAGTTTAAGGTCTACCTGGGGGATTTTTCCAAGGATAGGCCGTTTTGTGCTTTTTTGGTAAAGCATTGCTAGCCCCCGGTGAAATGGCAGACTAGACGCCTGCAAGGAAGTGGAGAGTGACTTGTGCAATATCCAGTGAAAATGCGTGGTACACTCCTGCCAGTAACAGGTCGTGTTGCTCTCCTGTATTCAAATTCAACTTCCCAACATTCTTATTTGAATCCACAGACATTTCCTTCTACCAGTCATTGACAACAGCTTAGTTCTTCCCCGAAGGGGCGTGATTGGCTGGGTGAACGGTGTTTCTCTCGCTCGCCGTATAAGCTTGCCATCGTAATGGTGCTACTTGTGGGGGTTGTATTGCGAACGGGCACCTGGTGGCCCGTCCTTTCAAGGGTGGAAGTCCCTGCCGCGAGCGCAGGCGTGAGCGCGTGCGTTGTGACAGGAAGCTGCTGGAGCTGATGAGACCAGGGTCATTTAACAGGCACAGAGGACAGTCTCACCGTGGCTCTGGTGCCTGCGATCGCGGTGCCTGCCCCACAGATCCATGTCAGCTAATGTGGCTTGTCCTGATGATGTTCTGTAGCTTTAGCGCGCGCCGACTGCGAGTAGTCCTGATCTACTGTTTGTTGGCGTGGTCATGGTATATCGTTAAGCTGATGTGATCCTCCTGCCGTGAGGGGGGGGGGGCGGGTTTAGGGTCACCTGCACCAAAGCCCCGCATGCAAAAGTGGCCTTGTTTTTATGTCACTCCACATAGAGGCATAGTGCCTTTCAGTGGCGCCGTCTTGAATCGTTGGAAGAAGTCCTCGCTGTACGGAATTGGCCCGACCTTTCTCAAAATTCGCTTTAAGTTCTGTTGTCGTTGGCATCCGAAATGTAATGCAATAGGTAAGTTGCCTCCCCCTCCCCAAGAAAAAAGCCAACAGCAACGAAAAAAGGCGTTTGACGTTGCCATTTTTGGCACCAGAAAGGTTCCAAAGACCATAGCCTTATCGTAGGACTATCAGCAGCTTCTGAGAATGAGCTGCACGTCTGCGGGAGCTTCGAAGAGAGCCACTGGCCCCGAGGCTGCCGACGCTGATGACGCCCACCCGATGATGCCGCTGAGATGGCCGTGCTTGGGACCGCTCTCGTTCTGCCCTCCAGGAGATCCGCGAGTTCGGGATAGAGGCGGGCGCGGACGTGTTCTACGCACCCGGCTCGGACGAGTACAGCCATTACGTGTTCGTGGAGGCGCTGCGCAAGTAAGTAAGGAGCGTTTTTTGGCGATAGGTGGAATCACTCTTGACCCGTTTGCTTCTGCCACGGAGCCGCAACTGTGTTGTTGCGGACTTAAGGTACCGGGGGGAAGCCAGGTCGGTACAACTGTGCCAGGGACAAACGGTACTTCTTGGTCAGGGACAATGGTTGCAACTGGGCCAGGACAGGGACGGCTGGGACATGGCTGGACCTGATTGAATGCGGAAAACTGACGGGGTAGGAGGAAGGATGGGACAGAACAAATATGTTCGTGGCAGGACCAGAACAGACCAGACTAAGCCGAGCCAGACCAGAACTGTTCAGGCCCGACCTGACCAGACCGGACCGCACTGGACTAGACCGGAGTGGGTCCGAGTAGATTTGACCTGACCTGACCTGACCAAACCTGACCAAACCAAACCAGACCAGACCAGACCAGACCAGACCAGACCAGACCAGATATACATATATATAATATAGACCAGAGCTGGAATGGAGACAGAGGCAACCAGAACTGCACAGAAAAGACGAGCCGAGGTGGGGGCGCTGTGTGCCGTTCCATCCTGTCACGCGTCCTGTCAAGCCCTGGGTGGCGCTGTCATTAATCTGTCCCTGCTACCACAGCACAGCACAGCACAGCACAGCACGGCACAGCACAGTACAGCACCACACAGTACAGCACCACACCACACACACCACACCACACCACACCACACCACACCACACCACACGACAGTCATGTGAAGGCATATTCTTATTACTCGTTTTATTTTCAGTAAATGATATTCCAAGGGCTTGTAGGTTAACTGAATGCATGTTCATGTTTACAATCGAAGTTTACACGCACGTTTGTTCCTGGCTGGCGCGAAACAACCAGTTTCTGGGCGTTTTTACTTGTCGGCTCGATTTCCCAGCCGCCTCGGTAGCGCTCACGGGCTCCCGTCCGACCGGGCAATTCTGAAGATGCCTCGACCAATCACGCGTCAGTTTTGCGGTCTATACCGTCTTCCTGTCCTGGAATACTCCCGCCCGCTCAGCATTGCCTGAAGATTGTATTCCAACTTTGGAAGCGCCGGTAGAATTGTACGTCAGAACAGCTGTGCAGCGGCAATCGGGAGCAGGGCCAAGGTCGCTGGGTACGTTTTGCGCCGTACGCACGGAAGGGTTGCGTCGCTAGCCAGTTGACGAAAGGTTTTAAGTTGGCAAAAGTGCTTCGTGGAAATTGTTTGCGGCTCCAGCTGTTGCTGTGCAGTGTTTACCGAGATTGAGGAGATTGAGATATTGAGTTTGATCACAATATGATAACTAACATACGGTGCCCGGGTCCCATTAAGTATGATATTTGATTTTCTGTTTACTTTGTTCCATGAACAAATTCTGTTCTCCGCTTTGTTGTTAACAATTGTCTGTTCGAATCGCTTTATGCTTATAATGCATGTCATGCATTATGACATGCTTAATGCATGCCATTCTGCATGCTGGCAGTGCTGATTAATGTTATATGGACATGGGGCCCAGTACCAGAATGGTGCTTTTTATGTAACCTACATACATATGAGAGCAAGCACCAGAAAGCTTGCAATGGCTTAAGCATGCAGCAAGAACTAACAACTGAAAGGTTTGAAAAAGCAGTTTGTTCTCTCCATGTCTCCATAATGTTCCAGGGGGTAAGGCAGACAAGAGCTTGTCAAAATTGTTCCTATGAAAATGGTGAGATGAATTAAGATAATTGATTTTTGCATGCCTCAATACCATTGTTTAAAAATTATGGTTGGTTATTAAAGGCTTAAGCAGTGCGAGAGGTTATATTTGGTGTCTACAAATGAAATGTTGGTCTGAAAAACTGGTTTGCTAGGAATCTCCATGCCATTCATGCATGATAGCCACCAGTCTTAACCACCTAGTTTTTAAGTTGAGGTGTTATGCTATCTTCTTAAACCTGATGGACATTCATATTGGTGGGAATGTAGTGACTAGCACTTTTGGACAAAGTGGTGGTTAGCTATTTTATGCACATCAGTATCTGTAACTTGCTTATAATGCATATCATTCTGCACACTGGTGGTGCTGATTAATATGGTTACATAAACATAGGGCCAGGTATGAGAAAGATGTTTTTGAATGTAACCTACGTACATATGAGACCAAGCACCAGAAAGCTGCAATGGCTTGAGCATGCAATAGTAACTAACAAATTAAAGGTTTGAAAAAAAATAGATAGGTTATTCTTGATAATGTCTCCATAATGCTCCAAGGCATATGGCACACAAGAGCTTCTCAAAATTATTCCTTTAAAGATGATGTCATGAATGGGAATGTAGTGTGTGGGAAATGTGGGAATGTAGTGACTAGCACTTTGGGGCAAAGTGATGGTTAGCTATTTTTGGGCACAAATCTCACTCGTTTGCCATTATTTGATGTCACGGCACTGCAGGGATTATGGAAGGGGTCCCCAAACGTGGGCTTTCTCTTCCCATTTTTTCAACTAAACATTTATTCCATATATCACTGCATACCACATTCAAAACCACATTTCAAAGAAACTTGCAATGCTTGCTTCAGGCTCGCCACCACTGCTCATGGCAGTCACTGAATGTTGGTTTGCTATGACTGTGTGGACATGGAGGAATGAAACAAAGATTGTGGGTGTGATGAGATGCATGGGAGCAGCCAACTGACTGTGACTTATGCTGCCTGCTGTTGGTACCAGGGGCAGATCTAATATGTTATGGGTTTGGTTTCCATCCAGCATTTGCCTCTCATCCAACATTCGATCCTGGTGATGTCACTGGGTCATGGCAGGTCTCTAGGGATTTATCTCACACCTAGCTCAACAACCATATGATTGTTTTGGTTGCTCTCAGCAGTCAAAGCCACCTTGCCAAACAATGGCTTTTGTCCCACCTGACTCTATGGTGAGCTGAAGAGTTTGACCATCACATGGCAATCGATCACTTCCTTTGATGACAGCACTGCAATGAAACAGGTATGTTCTGTTCTCACACAATGACTACTGGACAGGCTGCAGTGAATTCTATCCATTTTGGTTGGGTTGGGAATTCACCCTGTATTTGACATAAGTCATGTGGTGCTCAGGGCCACGCCAATGGGTTCTCTGCAGAATATGACATTTTTCATGCAATGTGGGCCTTGTTGCATGCAACACCATGGAGTTCATGTCAGATCTTTCGAACAGATAAGGTGGGCCGATGCCGTCACTACCTCTTCCATGTTTTCACATTCGCTTGATATGTAAAGACAAGTCGTATCATTGGATGTATTGCATACGATTGCCGCAGTGGCAAAGCGCAAGGCAGCGTTTTCAATCCGTCACAAATGTACACATACAGCTTGCACCGAGAACGCGGCGTTAGGGTCCTGTACCCGAATGCTTATGCATGTCTAACAAGCATAAATAGCTATCTGCTTAGACTGGCCACCCAGCCAGCACATGGCAGCGACCTGAACTCGGCTTCCGCGGGCCTTGTTCGTCGAAGCTAAGTTCAGGTTCAGCTAAGCCATGGAGGTGGCAGCAAAGTTCGAACTACAAGCGCAGCACATCTTACAACATGGTCGGTCAGGCAGTCAGTCACATGGTGGTGATATGCATGCACATATTTGGAAGGCACGACCAACATAACACATGACCAACACACATCACATTGATTACATCACCGACATCACAGCCACGTGCAGAATGTCAATACACCTTACACCTGTCGATAGGCTTCAACGTTGGGGCCATATTTCGGAATGTCAACAGCAGACAGCCGGGCTTCCATGCTGACCAGACGCAATCCTTGCGGAATAGACGAATGGGAAAGCTGAACTACGGCCCAGCCCAAGACGTACCACACAGGGATAGGACGCTCGGCCATCCGTTCAACCTGATTAGCTTCCCCATTTCATGTCATGTGACTTCTATTGGCGCCACGGAAATCATGTGCGCTAAATGCCCTTCATTTTTTAAGCATCTGAACATCTCCTGTCTTGCACACAGTACCCATACAGCACAGCCCATTCGGCGGAAAGCCCTGTGACCAACATGATCAGCGCCATCTCCGGCGACCATGACGGAGCCACTTGACGTTCAACGTGATGCAACCTTGGAATGACATTCCATTGTCACGTATATGACCTCGGCGCCCAACTGGAACAACTTATGCATGAAAAAGATCCACAATGGTCACAGGAAACTTAAACTCTCGTACCGATCAGTGAATGGTAGTTAGCACGACAGAAAAAATGCCAACTTCGGAGTAGCACAGGGTAGCATCATAAGGTCAGTCATGTTTAATTTATCTACGAATGACCTTTCAAGCCATCTTCTGTCCAAGTGTGAAATTATATGCATAGGTGTGGGTTTGAGTCCCCCACATAGTACGCAGCCCGCATGGGGGCAGTTCGGCTGGCTTGTGTTCAAAAGGCCAATGCGTTTGGGTCAAATCACTCTCCCGACAGGTGTGATTTAAACGGATTGCCGCGACCGAATTTCTGTCCATTTTGTAGTGGTAAAGACCTGGCTCTTTAAGTTCAGACTCAGGGAAGGCTCCAGAGTAAGAGAGGTTATGCCGTAACCCTCCCTTATGTTATCCATGAGGTCTTTTGTGCATCGAACGGGCGCCGAAATGTTGTGACTGATTGGCGCCAAAATCGTAATCTGAGAACGCCATAGCCTTTTTTTAGACGTGCCCAATTCCTGGGGCCCTCTTCATTTCGCAACGGTACCGAATTCCTTGGACCCACATACAGCTCCAAAACGTTGCTTTTTAGAGGCACCAATTTCAGGACCACCATTGTCTGATGCTTTTCCCTTGACAAAAATCGTGGATCGGTTCATTCCTTGAAGCAACACCAGCACCTTCATTTCCGGACAACATAGCCTTATTTTCAAGATGTGACTAATTGAACCGGGCGTACGAAGGGCCAAAACATGATTTTCAAGGGCTTCAAGTTTCAGCCCTTCGGCAGCTAGATACTTTACCGAGTTTGCCGTGCGTCTGGA